GTCGGACTGACGCTAACCAAACTGAAAACGCACAGGGCCAGGTCTCCCTGAATTTGGAGAAGCCCCATTCTGCTTGTTTGCATGTTTGCAGCCACTCACCATTCTTGTGGCCGAGGCAAACGACTGCAAGGCCTGCCAGTTGCCTCCCCCACTTCCGCCCAGACCGGCTGGCTCTGAGCAATGCCCTGAAGATGCTCAGAGGACAAAGGACTAAGAGCCAGAGTTTGCCCTCGGATCTATTTCTTGGGCTCCCATTGATTTCAGAGGGCGCTGGGCGTTTGTCCTGGAGGGTCCTAGCTAGGTAACTTGAATCACGTGCATGAAAATCAGGAGCATTTTACCTCTGGGTCCTTATGCTGACCAAGTGCCCCATCTTGCTTTCAGTCGAAAATAGACTAGAACAGTAGCTGCTTCAAGCCTCATTTATTTTGCTAAGCAAAGATGGGACACGCCTTTAACACACCCGCTCAGGCTGGTCCCTTGGCAGACTTTTGATGCTGTGGTGCAAAGATAAGGCAGCATCGCCCTGAACAGGCCTGCCGATGGAGGGGCAAAAGGGGGCAGGTGCCACGGGGCCGGGGGCTCCCAGCAGCTGCTACTGTGGCAGTAACCGGAGACCTGGGCCCTTTAAATCACCGCCGGAGCACTGCGCTGCACGCTCCAGACAGCTTTGAGGGCTGACGGGGGTGCAAGCTGTGGTCCTGGCGGTGCTGAGGGCTGGCTCCCCCCAGCCCTGCCCCTTGCAGGAGCGCAGAGTGCCCTCCCACATCTTGCCCAGGGCTCATCTAGACTATGGGGAACGGTCGAAAAACGATATGCAAATTCCAAGGGAATTTGCATATCTTCTTCCCATCACACTTTTGAAAGCAGAGCTTTCGAAAGTGAAAGTAGTTAAGACGTGGCTTTTTCAGCGAACTCCCCCTTTGTCGAAAAGCCACGTAAACCTCCTTTTTTGAGGAAGAGAGGCTTTTTGACAAGGGGAAGGGGTTGCGTCGAAAAAGCCACATCTTAATACTTTCACTTTCGAGAGCTCTACTTTCGAAAGTGCGATGGGAAGAAGATATGGAAATTCCCGTGGAATTTGCATATCTTCTTTCGACCATTCCCCGTGATCTAGATGAACCCCCAGGGTCCTGCGGAGGCAGTCACCTCCCCTGACTCTAAACATGGCATCCTGCTACTTTGCTTTAATCATATTTGCCCGTGGCTCTCTTCCAAAGGATCTTAGGGGGGGAAGAACTTTCTAAAATATAATCTTAGACTGGCGAACACTCCCACCATTCCCCTTCTGTGGCGATGGTAATCTCACAGTATTATTTCCTCCATTTTTGCCCCATATGTGACAATTATGTGTCTGGTCTCTGGTTATATGACCCCAGGGAAAAGCAGCCCTAAAAAGCATATGGGGCTCTGGGGAGGAGTTTGCTTCACTGCACACTGATTTTCTTTCAAAGACAAAGAGTCCTGGGTACTTTGCAGCAGGGATATTCGGTGGCAATAAAACCAAAACCAGGATTTACTTGAAATCACCCCTGTCAAATAGCTTCTGTCATTCTGAACCCGTATTTCAGTAAGCTTGTAGCAATAATTTATGCCACTGCCAAAGCTCAATTGTTAATTCACAAAACACTGCTTCGAGCTGTCAAGGAAGTGTCTGGCGTAAGTCTTTTGTATCAGTTGCACCTGATGTCCCAAGCAAATAGACAAGAAGTATAGTATTCAGTTGGCAATTATAGGTCCCAATCCTGCACACACTGTGGCCAGGACTTTGGCCTGCGACTCAGGAGCCTTGTGTTTTATACCTAACTCTAGGGGTGGGTGAGATTCTGTGGCCTGCACTGTGCAGGGGGTCAGACTAGATGATCATAATGGTCCCTTCTGACCTTAAAGTCTATGAGTCTGCCACTGACCTGCTGTGTGACCTTGGGCAAGTCATTTGACCCTTCTTTGCTGTATATACCTTTTGATTGGTGGGTGCAGGGACTCTCTCTTTACTATAGAGGAGGCTTTAAGCTACTGTAATGTTCAGCGATGGACAATCGTCCCCAAATGGCTGCTCCTTTGGCCAACATCACTGGAATATATCCTGGCCTGCCACATCCTCCCCATGGGTGACTACGCCTCTGTGGTGGGGGTGAGGGTCGGTGACTGCACTAAAAAACCGCAAGCCCTTTGCTGAGCCCCATAAAGGAGACTGTACGGATGCCAAGGAGCTGACCTACTAGCCTCATTTTTAAGGAACGTTCATACTGTGAGTCTGTAAAACTCATTCTTTAGAAATGACACACTTATTTTGTATGGGTTTTTGGACCCATCAGTCTGGAGAGCAGCCTCACCTTTACTTGCCTGAAATGGGTGAATGGACTTTCATCAAAGCCGGGTCTCCACTAAAAAAAAATTAGGTTGACCCCACTATAGTGCCTATGGGTGTGAAAAATCTACTCTCCTGAGTGATGCAGTGGTGTAGGCAGCACTCGGTTGACAGAAGAATTCTTCCGAAGTCGAGCAACCACCGTTTATGAAGGTGGAGTAGCGCTATTGAGCGTAGGTAGCATCTACGCTGAACTGCTGCTCTGGTGGAGCTAGAGGGTTTCAAGGGTAGACACAACCTTAATTAGAAATCTAAAGCCGAAAAGGAGGTTTTTTAGAAAGTTATGAGCATCTGAAAAAAGGATTTACAAGGGAAGCCTGTATGTGTAATACCATGCCTAGACGCACACTCACACACACTTGTTGTAGTGGGATATATTTGTAATTAGCCAAAGCACTTGGCTCACTACCTGATTATGTCATCATGATGTTTTAAATGACAGCTATACAGAGACATCCAAAAAAGAAAAATGTGTATTTGTTTATTGCAGAAATTAGACCAGCAAACTCTTTACCATAGGATTAATATATTTTTGCTAATACGGGTATATATTATATTATTGCGTATGTGTATTAGGCACATCACACAATGTAATTATGCTGTAGAATTCAGTAATTTTGTGTTTTTATTAAATGATTCTCTTGTGATGATATAAAAACCCAACACAATTTGCATATGTGAGAAGAGAATAAATAAATGAATAAAAAGGACTATCATTTCATATGTATTTTAAGTCCAACTCCCGCTTCCCAAAAAAAAAACCCTAGGATCAATAAATACAAAAGTCTATCTTTATTAAACTACCATGTGGGAAACTGTATGCATTTTTAAGCCCTCAATTACCAGGAGACATCTCCATGGATTTTCTGCAGAATTTACTCAAGGGAAAAGTGTCCTGAATGCATCAAAACCATGAACATTTTGCCTGTTTCATATTCATACTTTCTCCCCTTGTGTGTGACTGATTTATTCTGCTGTGTGCCCCCAGGGTGCACATTGTCCAAAGAAAAGGCTGCCAAAAAATAAAGGAATTCCCTTTTTGCTGAAAAAAGAAAGCAGCAGAGTTGAGGAGAGCAGGGAAATGAACTAATTCTTTAAATGTCACGCAATATGTCATGCATCTTGGAGTCGCATATATGATTTCACCCCATGGTGTTCCCTAGCAAAGTTTGCTTACCATATTAATAACCCTAGTACAGTACAAGCCACTCTCCTTGAAAAGAAAGGCCCACTTCAAGAAAACAACCACGCCATGCTGTGAAATGTCTCTTTCTGGTTGCCTATGTGAGCTTGCTTACTTGTATACTTTACAAAGTGCCATAACTAGTATGACACTGCTGTGCAAACATGGATCTGGAGGGCTCTTAGATTCTTTTAGAGGCCTCTTTTGCCATGAAGCCTTGTTGGAATTTGTCAGTGATTTTTGAGCACTCCGGTTTGTATCTGGAATGAAACAATGGAGCATAAATTAGTTTGACAATGTCAGCAAAGCCGACGATCTTGAGTGGGCTTTCTCTGCAGAACACAATGTCCAGAATTGGAGGCACGCACATGACAGGGCAGAAAG